AAACCCCTAGCCCCACTTTTGTCCGGGGTACCTCTCTGGTCTCATAGTCTACTTCTCTCCCATCGTTTACCCCCTTCTGCTTTCTCTGGCCCCTTCGTGGTCCCTGAAGCTACAAGTGACATTCTCAAAGAGACTTTCCTGACTAAAGTATCACACACTCATTTCAAACAGATACATGTCGTTTCCCAGTGTTCTCCTTCATTTATATTTTTCCTTTCTGGCACTTAGCTTCTGACACACACGTGTGTGTGTGTGTGTGTGTGTGTGTGTGTGTGTGTGTGTGTTCGTTCACACTAGAATGTAGGTCATAATGGCACAGATTTTTATCTGTTCTATATATTGCCAAAAGTGTCTTGTGCTTACATACACATAGTATATTCTTTGTTACCATCTGCAGGGTGAGTGAATGACTATCTTCACATACATTTCTGTGGCTGATAACTGCCGAGTACTCCACAGGCTGGTTTTTTGCTTTTATTATTACTGCAGAATTGAGTGAGTGGCCGTCTGTCTTCTGTTCTCTTTGGAAAGGAGCTGCTGAGGAAACAGTTGCTGCCTTTCCCCCATTTTCTGTGTAGAGAGCAAAGTCTGTCTAGTGAGCTCCACTTATCCTACCCTAGCCTAGCCTTGCAAAGGGTGTGTCCTTATAGGTCACTTTAAATCAGTGGCTTCCTGGTTTAACCACATCTACTTGGTACAGCTGGGTCAGGCACTTGAAAGAGGTGAAATGGCAAGTTTTATGTTATATGTGTGTGTGTGTGTGTGTGTGTGTGTGCGTGTGTGTGTTATATATGTAAAAAAACAAATTTTTTTTTGTGTGTATGGTTTTTGTTTGTTTTTCAAGGCACGGTTTCTCTGTACAACAGTGCTAGCTGTCCTAGAACTCACTCTGTAGACCAGGCTGGCCTCAAACTCACAGAGATCCGCCTACCTCTGCCTCCTGAGTGCTGTGATTAAAGGCATGCACCACCACTGCCCAGCATATTCTATATATTTTACCACCTCTGGTGGAGGTGGGGTACTAGATTCTCAAAGCGCAGTTCTGCCAGCAGTATGCCCAAAATTACTGAAATTGAGTAAAAAATATTTTTAAAAAAATCTGACCCAAGGGTCGGGTGGTGGTGGCGCACAACTTTAATCCCAGCGATCAGAAGGCAGAGGCAGGCGGATCTCTGTGAGTTTGAGGCCAGCCTGGTCTAAAAGAGCTGGTTCCAGGATAGGCTCCAAAGCTATACACAGAATCTGCCCTGCCTCCCCTCCCCGCCCAAAACAACTGACCCAAGAGATGGCTCAGTGGTTAAGAGCACTGGCTGCTCTTCCAGAGATCCTGAATTCAGTTACCAGCACCCACGTGGTAATGGGATCTGATCCCCTCTTCTTTCTGATACTCTCTTCTGTCATGCAGGCATAGATGCAAATTACATAAAAATACATGAGTACATAAATCTTTTCTTAAAACAACTGACCAAACACTTAGGGACAATTAGAACTAATCCTTTACAGCTCTTTTTTTTTAAAAAGGACAGCAGAAAAGGTTGGAGGTGGAGATAGCCCATTGTAAAGTGCTCACCTGGTATGGCCAAGGACCCGGGTTGAATCCCCAGCAGGGTACCAAAGGAAAGAGAAGGTGGTGGGGTGGGAAGGAAAGAAGGACAGAGTTTTCAAGCAGGGTGTGGTGTTGTACTCCTGTAATCTCAACACCTGGAGGCGGAGGCAGAAGGATTGAAAGTTAGAGGCCAGCCTTGGCTACATCGTGAGCTTCCCATCTCGAATCACTTCTTGATTCATTTAATGAGGGCACATTATCCTGATGCCAAACCAGACAAAGATACTAAAAAAAACCACAGCCTCACATCCCTTATCCATATGGGTTCAGGACTCCACAATATGAGCCGGGGAGGGAGGAAACAGTGACCACGATTAAAGCCACCTCTTACTCCTCCCCGTTCCAGTCTGCCAGGCTCTGAGACTCCCAGGCAGGCCTGTTGTCCTCTAGTGAATGCACATCTGCCCACAGAGCTGTGAAGGCACCAGTACACAAAAGAAGCCTTGGCCTTCTCTCTGTTCCCAGAGCACCGGGGAGTGCCGGGACCCAGCAGATCCATCACTTACCCCTTCCTGCCTGCTTTCCTGCTCACTGGGGCTTCCCAGATGCTCCCTTCCTGGGCTCTTCTGCTCTCTGCTGGCTTTCAGAAGGCTGTATTGGATCTGCTGTCTCATGTCATGGCCTCACACATGGTGACTCCCCTTTTCTCCCACTCCCACCAAACTTGGTGGATGTCTCTGCTTTTAATTCTACTTAATCATTAATTGGTTAAATTATTCATACAGAAGGCAAAAGCTTCTGACCAAAATGTATTTTTTAAAGTATTCTTTCAAGAAGGTATCTATTTTTTTTTTCTCTGCTGGCTAGTTTTATGTTAACTTGATACAAGCTAGAGTGATCTGAAAGAAGGAACCACAATTGAGAAAAATCCCTCCAGAAGATCTGGCTATAGGGCATTTTCTTAATTAGTGATTGATAGGGGAGGGCCCAGCCCATTGCAGGTGGCAGCACCCTTGGATTGTGGTCCTGGGTTCTGTAAAAAAGCAGACTGGCCAGACTATTGTGGCATTCACTTAATTCCAGCTCTCGGGAGGCAGAGACAGGTTAATCTGTAGTAGGAGCTGTGGGCTGCATTCCTGCCACCCAGCTCCTGCCCGCCTGGCTAGCTTATGCCCCAAAATAACGACACACAAACTGTATTCATATAAACACTGCTTGGGCCATTTCTATTAATGTGTGTAGCACCACGAGGTGTACTTACCAGGAAGATTCTAGCCTATGTCCATCCTGGGTTGGAGCTTCATCGAGTCTGCTCTGGAGAGGGGAGGCATGGTGTCTGAGCTCACTTCCTCTTCCTCCAAGCATTCTGTTCTGTTTACTCCACCCACCTGTGTTCTAACCTATCAGACCAAGCAGTTTCTTTATTAATTAACCAATGACCTTCCTCCATCACGAATCTCTGAGTTCGAGACCAGCCTAGTTTACAGAGCTAGTGCCAGGACAGCCAGGGCTCTAAAGAGAAACCCTGTCATGGAAAATAAATAAATGAAAGAAAGAAAGAAAGAAAGAAAGAAAGAAAGAAAGAAAGAAAGAAAGAAAGAAAGAAAGCTGAACAAACTGCAAGGAACAAGCAAGTAAGCAGCACCCCTCCAGGACCTCTGCATCAGATCCTGCCTCCAGGTTTCTGCCCTGTTTAAGTTCCTGCCCTGGTTTTCTTTACTGATGGCTATGATGTGGAAGTGCAAGCCAAATTAACCCTTTGTTCCCCAACTTGCTGTGGTGTTTAATTCCAGCAATAGAAATAGAATGGAGACATGAAGGTCCCCGTGGGGTCTCTAAAAACATTCCCCAGATCCCTTAGGAAGAATGTGTCATTTCAAGTCAGGGGTGTGAACAGTCAAAGTGGGTCTGGAACATCTTGTCAGAGAAGGAGGAAGCTGTCAACAACCACTGATCACATTTTGAAGGAACTCAGGAGCCACCTCAAAGGTCCCTCCTAACCAAAGATGGGAACAGTTGAGGACTAACAGGTAACGGAAGTATTACACGTGATGCAGGTGCTTCTTACAGTGCTTTTAAATAGAAGGTCAACTGGGAGGCTGTAAGGACCAGTGTGTGTGTGTGTTTATTCATGCAAACATTCATCCCATGATCCTGTTAATCCTGAACCTAAGGACAACCCAATGATGTGGGAAAGAATGCCACCATCTTGCAATCCATATTAAATAAGAGGTGGAAAACAGTTACCTTTGCTGCTCACAAAGGAAGGGTGGGTGAGGAGCTTTGAGGGGTCGCCTGGGTGGGGAGCACCTTCTGGTCAACTCACTAAGTGACAGCATCACTACTGACAAAATTGACATGTGGGTCCTGTAGTGGGGTAGGAAGACAAATTAAGAAAAAGACAAAGTCTTAATCTAGCCTTCAACTCATGTAGCAGAGAATTACCTCAAACTCTGCTCCTTGAGCCTCTGCCTCCCAAGATTGGGATCACAGACAAGTGCCACCATTCCCCAAACACCCAGGTCTATGATGTAATGCAAAGCACAGACAAATGTGCTTACAAAACAAAACAGACCTCCAGTTTGATTCTTTATGAACTTCAACTGCCTGTCTTTAAGAGATAGAGAAGGAATACTGCCACACTGTAAGTATGACTGGACACCTGGGAAAAGGACCTGCTAAATATTATACTGTAGTTCCTCTCCCTCTCTCTCTCTCTCTCTCTCTCTCTCTCTCTCTCTCTCTCTCTCTCTCTCTCTCCTTTTTTCTTTTTTTTTCAAAGCAGGGTTTCTCTATGTAACAAACAGCCCTAGCTGTCCTGGAACTTGCTCTGTAGTTCAGGCTGACTTCGAACTCACCTATCTCTGTCTCCCAAGTGCTGGGATTAAAGGGGGTGTAAATAGCTAAATTTTATTTTTAATCAGCAAAGCAATCATATTTTGAAATAGCACCAAGCATATACCTTAGTCATCTCTTACACACGTGTAGCTTGTATGCTTTACATATATTGTATTTTCTAAATGAGCTAACTTCAGTTTTCTGAGACAGCTGAATTTTTGTCTGGTTTGCTTGTTTTTCTGAGAGTAGCCCGGGCAAACCGTAAACTCACTATGTAACCCCACTGTCCTTGAATATGAAATTCTCCTGCTTCAACCTTGCAAGTTCTGTTTTACCACACCCAACTTTTATGAGTTGATTTGTATTTTGTGTATATAACTAAAAACTTGCAGACTTGTCCTTTCTTCTTGGGGGACAGGGATGGGGAGACAGTGTCTTGCTGTATAACTGGTCTGAAACTGTGTAGCCCAGGCTGACCTCAAACTTCTGCTGATCTGCCCAGCTCTCCCTCCTGAGTGCCAGGATTACAGACCTGCACCACACATTCAGCTGCTTGCAAGTATTTCTTGAGAAAACATTGCATTTTCTCTCTGAAATATGTATCTCTCTTTTCTAGGACATTGCTTTAGGTTATATGAAAGAAATGCTTCCTCTTCTCTAAGGTCTACCAGGCACACTGACTTGAAGAGGATCAATGGATTTTGCACCAAGCCACAGGAAAGTTCCAAAGCTCCAACCGGTAAGTTTTTATGGCTTTATCCATTTATGGAATAGGCAGGCCCCATCCCCACCCCTTAGAATTGTTTGGCATCAAAAGAACCTGAGGAGGTCGGCCAGTGTGTCCTCCATCATGCTCAGCCTTGTAGCATTGCCTTCCTTGCTGTGCGTGCATTGGTCGTGTTCACAGTGCACAATGGGGTGTGTGTGTGTGTATGCACATGTGCACGTGTGCCACAGGCTAACATCCGGTGTCTGATGGGGAATCTTTGTCAACCAATTATCTTTAAGAGGTGGGACCAAGTTAGGATGTGGCTTTCTGGGACCCAGAGAAAAAACTGCCCATGGTCCAGGTGCCCTCTCTCTGTGTGGTTCCCTCGCAGCACAGCTGAGCTTGGACTTCTCATTCCTTTTTCCTTGAGTTTGTCCCCTATAATAAATAAAATATAGTTGCTTTATCTTTAAATAGCCTGGTTATTTCACAAACCAGATTAATTCACCAGATTAATTCAACAGGTGTCCTCCTCAACCATTCTCCACTTTAGTTTGTTTGTTTTGGTTTTTTTGAGACACGGTTTCTCTGTGGCTCTGGAGCCTGTCCTGGAACTAGCTCTGTAGACCAGGCTGGTCTTGAACTCACAGAGATCCGCCTGCCTCTGCCTCCACTTTAGTTTTAAGACAAGGTTTCTCACTGAGTTTGAGGCTCAGCGATTTGGCAAGACTGGCTGGCCAGCCAACGCCTCCCCAGGTGTGCACATCACTCCTGGCTTGTTTTTTTTTTTTATTTTTATTATTTTGTTTTGTTTTGTTTTAAATGGTTCTGGGAATTACACTCATATTCTCGTGCTTGACTGAGTCATCTCCCCAGCCACATCAAGAGATTATGTTTGAGATCAAATATAATGAGGCTAAATTCTGGGTTTGGCACTGACTTCATACCTAAGGCCAAGTTGCCACTGTGGGGGTAGGGGTGATGCACAGCTATAATGTCCCAGCTGTGTTTGTCTGCAAGCTTCTTCTCAGGTGTACTTGGGCTCTTCAGGTCTTGGTGAATAGAAAGGAACCATCCCTAAAGGGCTTAAAATGTGTCTTTTCCCTTCAATCTGGTGTTTCCCTTTCAGGGTCTGGGATCTATCCTAAGCAATAATTACTCTATATGGAAAAGACTGGGAGTGTAAAGATGTTACATGTGTATAGCATATATATTTACATCTGAATGTCACACTCAGAATGGTTACATGTAGCTGTTGACAGTTTCTTGTAAACACTGTAGTACTGTAGCATGTTACATATCTATGAATATATATATGTATATACATATACACACATACATACACAAACATACACACACACATATATGTGGAGATCAGATTTTGTATTGTATGAAGACATAAGCCTTGTTCTTGCATATAAAATGCATGCTCATGCTCACCAAGATAAAGCTGAGGAAATATACCCTAATTAAAGTATACTGACTATTCTATGGTAGTGGCATTAGGAATGGTTTACTTTTTCTTACCTATTCTTTCTGAATTGCCCTTCTTTTTTTTGGGGGGGGGGGACCTGCGGGCAGTGTTTTGAGTATCCCAGGCTGGGATTCTCTGGCTCACTGTGTAGCAGAGTCTCAAAGCCAATCCACCGGCTCCCCAGCTGCCCTCACAGGCTGAGGTCATAGGTGTGTATCCTACACCTGGCTTCTAGATCCTCTTCTCAAGTGGCTTAAATTCATGTTGGGGTGGGGGAGGGGAGTATGAAGCCACATGTGATAACCCGAGAAAGATGGAAGGCCAGCCCGTTTCTGTACCTGCACAGCTCTCACTCCGGTGGTGTCCCCCTCCCATGGCTTTCCTGTTCCTCTTGCTGTTGTTTCCTGAGGTGAAAGCAAAGATGTGTTGGGCATGAGGTAAAGTATAGCTCTCAGTGGAAGAGATGTCTGAGAGACGAGTGGGCTGTGGGTAGAAGTTGGCTTACAGTTGGTGAATGTCCTGTCTCATCCCAGCACCTTGTGAGTCCCTGTCTCTGCTTCCCATCCTCGGTGAGTTCTCTCAAGAGCACCTCTCTCTGGCAGTCTTTGGGACCTGCCCTGTTTTGCCTCATCAGCAATCTCTGCTTCCTCTACTGCTTTCTCCTGTTCCCTTGCCCGGCTCTTGGCACTCTCTTCCTTAGCACCTCAGTGTCTCACCCTTCACACAAATGTTTATCTTTACTCCTTACTTATCAATGGACCCTCAGGGGACTGAGGGACATTTGTTTATTCAGACTTGAACAAATCTATTCTTCATGATGATTGAGCTAGCAGTGCTGCTGGTCCTAAGTCCTCTGGGTTTGAGGTTCTCCGGGAGCCCTTCTTTGTCACAATTCAATCTCCCAGTTTTCTGTTGTCTTCCGAGTGACTTTAATGCTGCCGACTCTGGTTCAGGGCCAGCCCTCACCTTTTTATTCGAGTTTCTGCTTGGGCTTTTTGCCAGATCTGCACTTTGCCCTTTCCTTTCTTCTACCCAGTGTGAAGACAGAGATGAGCAGAGCCTTCCTGGCTTCAAAGTGCATCTCCCGGGGCCAGCTCTGCTTGTGCAGGTCTTTAGTACGTGCCCTAGGGAGACAGGCAAGTAGGTCTCTGTGAGCGCCAGACCATCTCGGTTTATCTGTATGGTGAATTCCAGGCCAGCCAGGCTTGTATGTAAACAAGAATAAAAAGTATATCCCCAATGCAGTGAATTCCCCAGCTTGATGTTCCGTGTCTGTCAATGTAATCTAACCATACAACCTGTTTCTTACTCTACTGGAGATGGGCTTTTGTCCATTATCAGCGCATCCTCTTCACCCTAGTGTTTCTCGTGGTAGTCTTTCCACTTTATGGCGGCTAGGCCTTATATTTTGCCCTAGTCCTCATGGCGTTGTGGAATGTCACTTGAAAACAGGCATCTGTGCAGTCCTCCTCACGTCACATGAAGCTCTGGATCTACCTGAAGCCTCATGGTGTTTCCGTTCACTGAATGGCTACAGGACACAAACAGTATTTTTATCTGTTGCTTGATTTGAACATTAAAATCTCATGCAAGATTCTTACCTGTTTTTTTCCACAGAATCTTACAGACACAGAGTGCCCCTGCACAAACCCACGGACTTCGAGAGGAAGATACTGTTGTGGTCAGGACGCTTCAAAAAGGAGGAAGAAATCCCGGAGACAATCTCGTGAGTGCTGGCAGGGTCGTATGCAGCCTGAGTTTCTCACTGGTCTCTGATGGGGAAAGCAGAGTGCGTTTGAGCTCTGTTTAAAATCTTCTGACCAGATTTAGAAACATTCTCCATTCTCTATGTGTTTTCATGTTGGCAGGTACTCAGAACAATGACTGCTGGGAACCTTTCTGTGTGTTACCTAGTGACGGGTGGACCTGTCTGTGTGTTACCTAGGGACGGGTGGACCTGTCTGTGTGTTACCTAGGGACGGATGGACCTGTGCGCTGCTGAAGCAGCCACGTTTAGCTGCATCCCCAGCTCTAGGAATGTGGGAAACAATAACGTGCGTTGTTTTAGCTTGTTTTTAAGCTCAGCACAATGATAATAATTACATCCTACAAAACCCTCCTAAGAATCAGCTCTAGGCAGGATAGTATTGTGATGCAGCAGCTTTAGTTTGGGTCTTAAACATCCTCCAAAGCCCATCCATGCACTCACAAGAAGCAGTAGAAACTTTAAGAGGTGAGGCCTCAGGCCTCATCTAGGAGGTTATGGTGCATGCGATTAGTCCCAGCATTCAGGAGGCAGAGGCAGGCAGAGCTCTGAGTTCGAGGCCAGCTTGGTCTACAGAGTGAGTTCCAGGACAACGAGAGCTACACAGAGAAACCCTATCTTGAAACTGCCCCCAGAGGTGAGACCTCTTGGGAGATCTTCAGAGATCCTCCCGATCCTCTTCATCTTCAGCTCTTTTGCTTCCTTCAAGGTAAGTTATCCCATCCTCTCACACATCAGCAGGCTGTTCATAAACTTCTTCCTCTTCATACGCTGGTCACCTCAGGTTTCCCTCACAACCAGGAAGGGGTGTCTTCCTCTCCTACCTCTTAAACCTCAGCTGGAACCAACTTTTTCAGAATTTCTAAGTTATGTATACAGTTCCTCTAAGCCAGGGTTTTGCTGCCTTAGTTAATACCGTTGACACTTTGGACTGGAATATTTTGTGAACTGCCCTGTATATGGAAGGATGTTTACAACATTCCTGGACTCTACTGCTGCAGCCAGCGCAGCCTGGAGAGCCGAGACTGGTGGTGTGTGCCGGGATTGAGACGCGGAGGTTTCAATCTTTTAGGAAATTAGGGCATTGTCAACCTGTTTGGCTACTTCCTGCTGAGCGGGGGCGCTGCATTATTGGGGGATATTTTACATCAACATTTCAGGGAGTCTCATTAATTCAAACCGCATAAATCTGCAATGAATCCACAGGTTCTCATCCTCTGTGGAGACAAAAGCAGAACCTCTTTTCCAAAGTATCAAATTCTTAGGCCTGTACTTTAAAGTCAAAATGCCTTTCTTAGCAGTTCCCAGAATCAAATGTCTTTCTCCAGTCCATAACACAAAATACAACACTATCAACACAATAACATATATATCTACACATTGTATCTTTTGAGGCCCTCAATTCACCTTCCTGCCTCCTCATTATTGCTTCCCTACTGGCCAGTCTGCTAGAGGGTGCCCTTCAGAGCATCTCTGGGGATGAAAAAACACATACTCCTTTTAATCTGACTTGGCTTGTTCCCACTCTGGAACATTTAAACCCCCTCCTGCACAAATCTTTGGCTGTCTTCCTTGTTACTTCTGTGCCTTGTTGCTTTAAGAGTTTCAGTTACTTTTTGAGGCCTTTCAATTCACCCTCCTGCCTCTTTATACTTGCTTATATTTTGGAGGATGTCCCTCAGAGTTATCTCTGGGGATGAAAAATAAAAACACTTTACCTTCCCCAATACGCTCCTCGATTTAGCCGGCAGCTGGAGCGACCCTGTTCACGTGTCCCCACTTTCCAGATCTTGGTGGAACCTCCACTTGCTGCGGCCAGGGCAGCCTGGATAGCCCAGACTAGCAGAGACTGGCGGGGGTGCCGGGATTGAGACACAGAGGTTTCTTTTCAGGTGGAAGAACAACAACCTTTATTTTGCCCAGCAACCTTTTATACCTCTACTCCTTCTGTGGTGCCCCACCAGCCAGAAAGAACACAAACATCCTTGTCAATTACAAACCACAAGGAAGTTCCGCTGAAAGTTTGGCTGTCAGTCAGGGGGAGTGAGGGCAGCTGGATCACAACATCTACCCTCTAGATGCCAGCAGCAGTCTCTCCAAGAGTGTCCCTAGGTGATGTCACATGCCCCATGGGGACAAACCCATCTCAGTGTTCCACTCAGGTGGAAGCAGTGTTCAGTCTCCTGCTAAGGACCCTGACTGGCCAGCATGTGGCCAGAAGTGAAACTCTCTCCCTTGTAGGCATCCTCCTCAGAGTGAGGGAGTAAATGTCACACATTTTCCATCAGCAAGAAACCTCCTGGGTCTTCTGGCTCTGGTCTGAAGTCACAAATGAAAAGGACCTGGGTTCGAGCAGCACATCTTTTCCAGGGAGACAGAATGCATCTGCTTCCTGCTCATAGAGTCCTCCTGCCCCTCTAGCTGAGTGAGAGAGCACAAGGCACCCCAGAGGTACCTCAGCAGGAAAGACTTAGTCCTTCTTAACCCACGTGANCTCTAGCTGAGTGAGAGAGCACAAGGCACCCCAGAGGTACCTCAGCAGGAAAGCCTTAGTCCTCCTCCTTAACCCACGTGACAGCGCCCTCTTCTGAGAAATGGAGTGCACCAGAAATTGTGTGTGTGTGTGTGTGTGTGTGTGCACGTGTGTGTGCACAGGCACATACCTTGCCTCCTTTGTCATTGGTTCCTAGATTCTCACAGACCCAAAATACTACCTTGGTGAGTCACTCTGGAAAGTTCTTTCCTGGGCTTGGGCAACTGATTGTCTTGTTGATGCTTCTTAGCAGGCCCCGCTTCTCTTGTCTTTCATTATCATCACTATCCAAGGAGTTCACACATACATCTGTGTTTTGATCTAATTCAGCTACCCATGCCCTTCCCTCCTTCCTTCCTTCTTTTTCTTTTCTTTTTTTATTTATAAATTCTGTTTATTTATCTTACTATTATGGTTGGGGATGAAGCTCAGGGCCTCACATATACTAGGCAAGTGCTTTGCCACTGTACTAGATCCCAGCTCTCAGGATCACTAACTAAAGAAAAAAATCATGTCAAGAGGATTGGTCCATGGACTCCAGTGTGAGCGGTTGTGAAACTCAACATAAGCAGTGCACAAGCCTGCCTTCTCTTTCAAAGTGTGGCCTGGATGCAGAACTCTGAAACCTAGAACTAAGAACGTCCATGCAAACTTTCATTGAAAACTTGAGAAAGCTGTTTACCCTATTTGCAGAGTAGCAAACTGGCTGTCAATCAACCCAGAAGCATGTTAGAAATGCATTTCAGGGCCCCACTCCAGACCAACCTAATCAGAATCTGCCTTTCTCAAAGTCGCTAGGAGCTTTATCCCCAGATTCACAAGGCCTGAAATACCTCATCCTTTAGCTGGTGAGCCCTGAGTCCCCTTAGAATGAGACTAATTAGTAAACACTCCAGCAGGTGGCTGCTCACTCCTGTGACCTTGGCTGTGGAAAGGAGCCCTTTCCTGCCAAATTCTACACTTCCCTCCCAACTTGATGTCTGTTTATTTTTTTAACCAAACTTGCTCCTTTTGAGATGAGTGGAAACTGTCATACCCATATTGAAGCATATTTTCCTTTATAAATGGTTTCCTGAGTGTAAGCTATGCCCTAGACTATAGGAAGACATTCCCATTCCAGATACCACACAAGTTAAAATGGTTTGGGTTTTGTTGCTTTTATTTGTTTATTTGGTTTGGTTTTCATTTTTGTTTGTTTTTGTGGCTAGTGGGATCTCCATTGGTTTTAGTTAAGCTGTTAAACAATTCACTATTTTGACAATTTGTTTCTAGTTCCTACCGTCCTGCAGGCCCAGCTTTAGTGCCTGGAGAGCTCCAGGTTCAATCTGCCTCCCGAGTCCAGCTCCCGAGTCCCAGCTCTTCCATCACACTGTATATGTGTTCACGGTCCTTCTCTGCCTGGGCCTTTTCCGTGGCAGCCTTTGAAAGCCACTGCTCTTGCTGATATTCAACATTACACATGCTAAATATCGGGAGAACAAAGTAGAAAGCATTCCCGTTCCATTATTTAGAGATAGTCACTTCCTGTGCACACCCGCTGGGGAGACCCATTTGGACTCCATGTGTCCTGTCTTGCTCTTCTAGGTACCTTGGTACAAGCACGACCCACTGCCTTCCTACAGAATCACGGGGATAAATAGCCTTCTCATTTAATTTTAATTACATTTATCCAGTTAGTGTCTTGGGGTGGTGCTCATGACACAGCATCTGTGTGAAGTCAGACACCTTACAGAAGTGTCTTCTGCCATACATGCCCTGGGAACGAATTCAGGTCATCAGGCTTGGCTGCAAGCACCTTTACCTACTAAGCCATCTGTATACTCAGCCTTCTCTTCAGACTCTTGAACTTATGCCTCTTTGCTTTTGCCCAGGAAATTGTCAGGGCATGTAGGTCATCCGTTAGAGGGCAGATTAGAAAAGCTATATGCTAGGTGCTTGCCAAAAAGCCCCAGCTCCAGCTCACTGTCACTCAGCTTTAGCAAGTTTTAGCCTTCATGACAAGATGAACATTTAAGGGATTATTTTGCTGGCTCATGCAATCTCAAATCTAGTCCCGGTTTAAGACAGAGCCAAAAGCTAGGTTAGAGGCTAGAGAAAAATACAAATTTGCTTGCATTGTTTGAAATAAAGCCTAAAGTTTGTTTTGCTTTTGTTTGTTTTGAGACAGGGTCTTTCTCCGTAGCTCTGGCTTTTCTAGAACTTGGTATAGGGAACAGGTTGGCCTTGAGCTCACAAAGATCCTCCTGCTTCTGCTTAAGTTAAAGGCCTGTGCCACTATTCCCAGCAAGTGTAGGTTTTGTTATATGGAATGAACTGTTAGATGTATTAATAAAAATGAAAAAGACTTTGAATTAATAACATAGTTTCTAACACCCCCCCCACACACACACACATTAAACATTGGAATAATCAGGGCTACAGAGATGGCTTGGTGGTTAAGGGCGCTGGCTGCTCTTCCTGAGAATGGGGGTTCAATTCCCAGAACCCACATGTGGCTTATAACTTTCTGTCTCATAGGAGATCCAAATCCGATACCTTTGTCTGGCCTCTGACTCAGACACTGCATATATATGGTTCACAGACATACTTTCAGGCAAACCACCCATGTGCAAAAAGTTTAAATATGGGGGAGAAAACTGGATTTCACAAAGAATATTAACTCTTCTATGTTAGTTTTTTTTTTTCTGAACTATATTTTTGTTATAACTTGAGAACATAGTAGGCCTTTTTTTTTTTTTTTTTTTTTTTTTTTTTTTTTTTTT